TAAAGTTTTATGTTGTAAGGCTTTGAGTTTAGCATCTTCTGTAAATCTCTGAAACTTAAATTCAGTTCCTTCTACTCTACATATAACATACGGTTCAATAAGTTTCTTCTGCAAATACTGCTTTAAAATTTCCATTATAATATTCGGAATTGCATATTTTAAAATATGTGATTAGCGGGATTATTTTCATTAATATGTTGTAAATGACATCTTCGATAATAGTATTGTAGATTTTTTTATCGTTACATAAAACAATTATTAAAAATCCGACGCCAATATACTACTTTAAACTATATAAATAGGTATGTTACACATTTATTGTGTAACAGGCAATTATGCAAATATCTGGTATGCTTAATAAAATATGGAATGTAATTTTAAAAAACAAGTTTTTGAGAAATTTTTTGATTAAAATTAATATAACTTATTTTATATATAGAAATGTTTTCAGTAAAATCAAGTCATAAGACATAGTAAATCATATGATTTATAATGTGATTTTACTGAAAACACTTTCATATGATAAAAATTAAAATACAATTAAAATTTTAATTAATATATTAAAATGTTATATAAATTAATTATTTTAAATAAATATTATATAAATAATATAATTTTATATCTATTATTATTAATAAACTAACTAATTTCAAGTTTAGAAACTTTTTTATTAAAAAAAATTTTAATTATAATAGAAAGCAAAATTATATAAAAAAAAATTTAATTTATGTTAAATATAGAATTTTTTTTTTTTTTTAGAAAATAATTATAGATTTAATATTAATTTAAAAATGATTGTTTAGAATTTTATTATATAGGTTGTAATCTAAAAAAATAAGTTTTGAGAATTTTTTATTAAATTTTATGTAAACATATCTGTTTATAAAATAATTAATAAAAATAACCTTTATAAAATATATAAAATAATAATTAATAAAATATAATATTTAAGATATTTATAATAGAAAAGTTAAAACTATAAAAATTATAAGATAATAAAGTATTAATTATAAAATAAATTCTTTTATAAAATTAGTTTATTAATATTCTATTATTCAAATACTAATAGATTTTGCTTTAAATTTATCAATTATAATATTATTTGATAAATCAAATATTATTAATATTTTTTATTTATATTATCAATAAATACTAATTAATAATTATATTATATATACCAATAATATCAATACATAATATAAAATTTTTGGTAAAAATTATATAATTAAAATATACAGTAATGCTCAAAAGTATTGCATCACCTAACTTTTTAGCATTTTAATAGCTTATTTCCTTAAATATAAATGCTAGAATAGTAATTCCTATTATTATTTAATTTTTTGAGATTTGTGAAATGCAGATCATCAATCAAATAAACGTAATTATAATTCCAGTTTCAAGTAAATAGGTGATCAACATTTGCAACTAGCACTAGTAAAATTTTGATTATGAATAAAATGTTTTTCAGAATAGCTACAATAAATCTGACCATAAGTTAATACTTTTACTTTAGGAGAATTCACATAAATCTCATAAAGATCGAATCACTGGTTGTAGAGAAATTAACTGTTAAAGACCACTAATTTACATATAAAATTCAAAAAAAAAAAGATTTACTATATAGATTGATGGTATTTACCAGCTAATTTCTCCATAACCAGTGATCCGATCTTTATGAAATTTGGCATATAGATTCTTCTTAAGTAAATGGACCAAATATATGAACAATTTAATTATAGCTTCTCTGAAAAAAGTTTTATTTGCAATTGAAATTTTACTAAGTGCTAATTGCGCATGTAGATCAGAATCGGCCAGATTTATTGATTGATGATCTGCATTTCTAGAATCTTATATATCAAATTTAGCATAGGAATTGCTATTCTAATATTCGTATTTAGGGTTTTAACACTAAAAAATTCAGGTGATGCAATACATTTGATCGCCACTAAACACTTTGCAATAGAAAGGTATAAAATTCTAAAAACAATTTATTGTTAAATTTAAACTAATTTTAAAAAATCATATTTAGCTTATAAAATAAAATTTAAAATTTTTGTGCTTTTATTGCAAAGCACCCATATTAATAATTAAAAAGTTTGCTTCAAAAATTGTGATACCAATATGCATACTTGAATTTGAATCATATCTTAAAAATTATTTGATTAATTATTTTTATCTATTTGCAAATAGTATATTTTAATAGTTTGTTTTTATTAATTAAAATTTTCATATTTTATTATTGCTATTTCTCTTTTCATAATACATAATTATTATTATTTTCTTACTTTTCAGTTACTATCGCTATTGTATAAGTTTGATTTTTATTAATGAATAAAGCAATTTTTTTATTAAAAAAAATTCAAAAAGGTGTAAATTACAAAAGTCCGAAATTTTCTTTGCGTGATTTGCGTGATTTAATATCAATGTATTATTATAATTTATTATTAGAAATATTACAGATTAATTTTTTGGTTTATTACTATATAAAATATAAAAGATAACGTTGGTTTAACATATTTATAATAAAAAGTTTATTTTATTGTTTTTTACAATTTTAGCTTTTAATATACTACATCTCATCCCTACAAAACTGTTAGAGTTAGTACATTTTTTTCTTGGATAAGATCAGTCAGCGCTATCAGTATAAACAAAAGAAAACAAAACGTGTTTTCATACACACTTTATCTATGAATTCATCTTTTGGTGAAAAAAAAACTGACAAATTTTGTTTAAAGTTATTTCGGCATTTTGAAAATTTATAAATTTCATTTTTAATTTATTGTAGCAAAATAAGATTATGGTAATAAAATAAATTACATGTGAATAAATAAATAATAAGAGAAATGAAAAATTTTACTGATAAAATACAAATAACTTTCGCTAATAATAATACATAAAATTGTCATTAACTGTAAAGAACGTCTCTTATTGATCCAACCGTTGTAAGAATAACATGCACGTTGAAGTTAACACAATGAAACTTATGATCCATAACATTCCTTTAGATGAATTTGCAGAATTCATCCAAGGTCGATCGGATGGACTTAAAGGGGTCATCGTCGCCGTAGCATCATAATTACTAGCATTTCCATTAGTTGCACTTATAGTCTGACAAACTCCTCTAATCGTTTCTATCGTTGGAGGAACTTCTGTATTCAATAATGTATCCGGCTGACCTGTCCTTCGAAAACATTCTATACATAGCGGCTGAAAAAATTTCAAAAGTACGTTTTTAATGTTAAATGCTCCAAAATGATGAAGTATGATTATAAACTTACATATACGGATAAGAACGTGTCAGCGCAAGCACAACGGATCGCATTAACAAATTGTAGAGGATCAAACAAAACCGAAGAAGCATTTTGAAAAATTTCATTAGATTCCGTACATGAATCGATAGAAGGGTATTCTTTTTCACAGGCAACACATGATGGAATGTTTGGATCAAAATAAGGATTATTTCCCGAACTTAAAACGAATGGAAGAAGTAGATAGAGAGTTGTCGAAATTAAGATGATTCGACGGAGAGACATTGAAAGGTTTGAAATCATCATGAATTTTTTTATCATTTAATTCGTTAATAACGTGTTTCGTCACTGCTGCGGGACAGCAAACCTTTTGACCTTTGAAGAAATGATATAAAGGGTAATTTGCAATTTTTCGTTAAAAAAGGATGCTGCCTCGCGAATAATGAATTGAACACTCAATGAGAGCAAGTACAATATTTGTAGTATTTCTATGCGTAGCATATAGGGAGGATTTGCCTTTATTCTTAACCACCAACTCCTTGTCCAACGATCATCAACCCAAGGGGGTCAATAGGGTCAATAGGGGGTTGATATGTTGATATTGTGATACCATGCTTCATTTATATATTACCACGAAATAAACAAAATTAACCTATTTAGATGATTTATTTTTAGCAAATCTTTTAAACAAGCGAAGAAATTCGGTCACGTGACCAAAGAATTTGTGAAAAAAATTTTTACCCTATCGCTATTATTTAAAAAAAGTGGATCGACGGTAAATGCATTTTAAAAATTTCAATTCCGTTGTACAAATTAAAACGTTCTTTTTAATTATTCGTTCAATTTTAAGCTCGATATAAAATTTTAAAATGGCTCGTTTAACACTTTCGAAATTATTAATTGTTAGTCTGTGTTTGTTTACTGTAGTTTTAGCAGCAAAGGGACCTGTTATAACTAATAAAGGTGAATTAATTTATTGGACATCTAGAATTTTTTATTAACGAACTTTTGCTGCTTTAAAGATATAAAATATTTAACGTTTCATTTTTTTCTTCTATCCGAAATATAAAGTATTCTTTGATATCAAACATGGTGATAAAGATTTAGGACGTATTATCATTGGGTTATATGGCAAGGTATCTTAAATTGTTCCAAAAGAATTTTCAATAATTTGTTTTGAATGATTCTAATGATTTTAATATATACAGACTGTCCCCAAGACAGTTGAGAATTTTCGCGCATTGGCCACCGGAGAGAAAGGATTTGGATATAAAGGCTCATCCTTTCACCGTGTCATAAAGGTATATTAAAAATGTTTTTGATTTGAACTTTCATTATTCCTTGGAATTTAACCAAAACCAATTTAATTTATAGGATTTTATGATTCAAGGTGGAGATTTCACAAAAGGAGACGGAACAGGTGGTAAATCCATCTATGGAGAAAAGTTCGCAGATGAGAATTTCAAACTTCGTCATACTGGACCTGGTGTTTTGAGTATGGCAAATTCTGGAACTGATACGAACGGTTCGCAAGTAAGCGTCTTTATATCTATAAAATTATATTTGTCATCTAGTTGCTGATTTTTTTTTTAAAACAAATTATTTAAATTTTAGTTTTTCATCACTACTGTACAAACATCGTGGCTTGATGGACGTCATGTTGTCTTTGGATATGTTTTGGAAGGAATGGATATTATACACAAAATTGAAAATGTCGAAAAAGGAGCTCAAGATAAACCAAAAGAAAGTGTGACAATTGTCGATTGTGGTGAAATTCCAATTAAGGAAAGTGAACAACCATATCGAGTCGAATTATAATCGTGTTAAAAAAAATATATATTTGGTTTTTTTTAATGCATCATAAGAATTGTATAAATTTTACATAATAATAAAATATTATTGCTATAAAAAAAAATGTTTATAATGTTTATACTAGTTTATTCCTTCCTTCCTCTTTTTATTTTGTTTAATTAGACTTCATATCCTGACAACGATGATTTAGAAATAAACAACTTGCCACCTCTCGATACTTGGGATACGATTTCTTTGGATCAAAGGCTACAAAACCTTTCATCCAATTGGTTTATAATTTTAGTGGGGTTAATTTTCATTTTAATGATAACTGGATCTATTAGAAGATATAAAACTGGAATCTTGGTTGCATTTGGCATGATTGATGAAAAAGATTCATCTTCTACCATCGGAAGAGTATAATCTAATAAATCCCGTATATTGATAAAAAATATTTCATTATAACAAAATATTTATTCTCTTCTTTACATCTAAAGACTTAAAAGGAGAATTCAAATCAATAAATGATTAAAATTGAATTTTAACTTTAGGCATACCTTATTCCAAGAACGTTATTCGTTTAATTCATCAAATCAATATTCAGACTTGGTCTCCATACTAAACAATATTTAATTAAGTTAAATATATTTAAATAAAACGACAGGAATTTTGTAATTTATTAACCTTGAAGCAGTCCGGCAACACCACGATCATTGGAATGGGGTGCAAAAGGAGAAACCGAAGCGATAGTTTTGCTAAATTCTGGGTCAGGATGCCATGCGATATCCGACACCTTTTGCCTAAAATTACAAATAAATTAACGATTTCGTAAATATAGTTACTTTATTTTATTTTATTTTTTTTGTAATATTAACTAACCTATGTCCTGTATGTTTAAATTTCGCGCCTTCTTGTTTATCATTTTTGTTTTTATTTATAACCTAAAAAGAAATTATAATGATGAGCATTTGTGATAATTAAATGATGAAAACCTCATTACTTACTTCTGTATTCCAAATGATAACACTACAATCATCCGAACAACTGGCAAATAACCCGCTATAGTGAGGTGACCAAACCACTTTATTTACAGAACGTTGGTGTTGTTTAAAAGTAGATAATGAAGTTGGCTTTGTAAAGCAAAAGAAAAAAAAAAATTTTTTTTTCAATGATTAATAAAAGTACTTTAATCATAACTTCAATTAATAAAATATGAATATTTACTGATGAATTGAAAACGCTCTTCATCTTCCGCGTATCCCACCATTCAATAATACCATCTGCACTTGATGTTAGAAGAGAATGTTCTTTATGAGGGTTCATGTGACAGCTCGTAGCTGCTACTCTATGAGCTTTCGCCACCTGTAAATCAGACATTCGTTATCATTTTAAAATTAAAATAATTTACATATTAAATGAATTCGACTTACGTTTTGAGCTAATTTATTCGTACGATAATCCCAAATTATCACATTTCCTTGACTTGAAGTACATGATACATTTGTACTATCTTCTTTATAATCACACGATAGAATTTTATTTGAAGAATCCGAAAAAACTTGATAATTATTTCTAGGAGGAAGTGCTAAGATAATATAAAAAAAGAATACTATGAATTAACAAAAAATACAAGAAAAAAAGCAAAAATATAAACTATATTTATATACATCTTTGATTTGAACTTGTTTGATAATCAGCCAAATCCCATAAAGCCAAATATCCATTCTCGGCTAAAAATAGTGAAATCAAAGTGTGTTAAATATATTGAAAACAAATCATTTTATGAATTTCTTGTCTTACTTACTACCATTAATAACTATTTGTCTATTCTTAGCAACACATAATGCTGGTCCGATTGGGGAGTTTTCGTTAGCAGCCAACTTAAGTTGTGCAGTAGGTCTGAATAGATCAAAAGAGATTATGACCTTGATCTTTAAAAAGTTTTATGATTGTGAGGATAATTTGTACCTTTTATCTTCAGAAAGAATTAACGTATTTTTCAGATCCCATACATAAATAAATTGCTTTCCGCTTGTAACGATCTTTTGCGAAGTTAAAAGCCTTACAATAAAAAAAAAAAAAAAATGAATTGAAAAACATTTTTCATTGTTTCATAAATCGAAAGTATTTCTATACCTCGCTTGTTGAAGTGAGCCAGGTTCGTGATGTGAAATTCGTTGACAGAAATTAATACTCTGTATTTCAAAGGAAAATAAAGTTTAATCAATAAAAAATTAATTAGGCTGGTACTTTGTAAATGTGTAACTTACTTCACAACGTTTTGCTTTTGCTCTATCTGATGATTGAATTGAGTTAACTAGATCATAATTTAATGGGCTACCTTCCGGATATAGTTGGCATTTTATTATACTTAGATATGCTTCAGCAGGGCTCGTAGTTCGAGCCATATTAGTTGCTAAATAGAATATTAGGTATATTCAACAGAAATAACAGAAATGAAAAACTCAAAGAAATATATGCATAAAAAAATATATATTATATATACCGCTGTAAAGCATAAATTGAGACTCCCCTTCTTCCTGCCTTGATCTTTTTCTTGGCACATCTCCCCATTCAATTGTATAAAATGAGCATGGTTCATTTTTCCATTCAGTGAAATGGGAGTAAGCAACATCATATAGAAGTACAATTCTCGATTCCCATGTTGAAGATTTATACACACAATTGTATTCTCTAATTTTCTATATAGTAACGAAGGTGTTAAAATCTTTTATCTTTAATTTTGGAAGGAAAAAACGATAATTCCAGTTAGTATAAGTTAGTATAGCACCTCAATAGGTATTTCTTTGTTGTTGTTAGAACAGTTCTTCATATGGGGCGTGCTGCAACAAGACAAAGTTAGCGTATGACGTCACTCTCAATCTCGATTTCTGAGATAATAAATTTTTATCATGCGAAAAATGATCAACGGAATGTAAGACCGACGATCCTGATTTGTTTAATCAACATATGGAAGGTTTGCTAGGAAAATGGGATTCTAAGCATTTTTTATTAAAATTTTAATTTTTATTGCAATTTAATCTAACATTATCAAAAATTAAAATGCAATAAAAAATGCTTAGAGCTCTATTTTCCTAGTAAATCTCCCATATTCTTTTGGTTTTATTATGAATAATATAAAACAATTAACATTAATTCATTTTTATAATTGTATGATTATATAACTTGAATTATATTAGATTAATTGTAGTAGTATCAATCATGATAAATTCTGAAGTCAACTCAGTCAGCCGTTAGATACTTTTCAGTTCAGTCATTGACTGAGTTGAGACTCTCATTTGAAATTAGCAATCATAATTGTATTATTAATATATTAATATTTAACAAAAATTTTTAAAAATTTAATTAATATTGCAAAAAGTAGATAATTATAAGTTTTATCATAAATAATATTATCAAGAATCCCATTTGACTAGTGATACCTGCCTAAACTCTTTTTTGAAAATTTGTAGTTTTGTTAAAAGATTTTGTCTCTTTAATATTTTTATATGAATAAATATAAAATCATTATATTTTTTAATGTATTTTAATTCAAGAAATTTAAATCAAATTAAAGATAATTTCAGCAAATAAGTAAAATAATTTCATTATTAATAAAAACTAGTTTCGTTATTTCAGTTTCATCAATTTCGTTATATTAAGAAAGGTAATTTTATCAGGTATCACTACATTTGACTAAAATTTGAAGTTTTACTTAATTAAAAATTTCATAATATTCTGAATTTATATCAAATTTGAAACAATAACTCAGTTATTAAAATTTCTGAGTTGATTCTATTTAATTGACTTAGCTGTCTATTCTGATTTTAACGACTAGTACTATTAGTTAATTGAGAATAACCATTATTAATACTTTCTTTACTTTTTATCATAAATATCAATTTGAAAAATGTTTTAATAGCTAAGAATTTAACATATTCATATATTGGTTATTGATCTAATTATTATTATAAATTTTGATTTAAAAAAGAATTAACAACTATTTTTCAAGAATTAGAAAAATTTAAAAAGCAACAATATCTTTTTGTAATAAAACATTTAAATAATTTGATGATATTATGGAATAATGAGAAAGTATTTCTAATATAGCTTTAGAATTAGATATATTAACTAATCATTTATTTAGAATCTGTATTAATACAGTTTCATATAAAAAGTTATTTTCTATAATGGGATTTTTACATTCAAAAAGACATAATCAATTATAAGTAAGTTATTAAATTATATACTAATATATTAAATTATTTTCTTTTTAATTTTTTTTTTTTTTTTAGTATAAAAATGTTTTGGTAATGAGTCAACTTTGAACTGAAATTATTAAAGAAAATAAGATTAAAAATAATACAAAAAGTCAAATGGATTACAAATATATAAAAAATGAATTAGAAATAAATAAAAAAGTATTTAATGATAGTGATAATGATTACTAATATTAAATAAACACAATAGTCAGGAGTAATAGAAGTATAGACAGATTTATTAAATGATGAGAAATTAGAAGAAAAAATAAACTTTAGAAGAATTGAAGATGAAAATTTAGATAGTGATGATTATAACGAAATTTTATTAAAGGATATAATAGCAAAATAAAAATTAGAAGATTTGTTTATTTCTAATTTAGAATTTTCCTTTTAATGAATAGTATTATATCATTAATATTATTTTACTTGAATAAAATAAGTAATTTCTAATGAAATTAAAGATATAATTAATTATTTTTTTTATAAATTATAAATTAATAAATATTAATAAATAACAATAGATATAGCTTTTTATTTTTATTTCTTAGTCAATAGATAACAAATAGCATTTTTTGTTCAGTATTGTCCAATATCCATTATTCAAACATGATAATACTGATCTGATGACTTTAATAAGTAAATAAATTATTAATTTTTTTTGATTAAATAAAATGATATTTCTGAGATATAAAAGATAGAAGCAGAAATAGAAACAATAAAGCATAATTTACAGCATCATTGCTATAGGTACTTTTAGCATTCAAACATTTAAACTTTAAAATCAGATAATATTCGCATGTTACCTTCAATATTGCTATATATTTTGAAAACTCATATTTTGACAAGCTGCAAATGCAGTTATTCTTTGATGAATATTTATAAGACAAAGATATTATAATCAATCAAGAAATTGTTGATGAGATATATAAAATATCAAATGGGTATATCATATTCTGGAAAAACTTCTTAACTGACTCATTGGATAGCAAGGTTCTTAATTATATCAAGTTTAAAATGATTGATTTACTCATCAGTATAGAAGTTAGAGAGATGTTTATTTTGTTAATTGGTAATTTTAACTCTACTCAAAATTTAATTTTCGAGCAGAATTAAGATTTTTTATGATTACAAAATTTTGTTAGATCTGCCCAAATTTATAGTGCCTGAGTTAAATTTATCCGGTTAATTAATAATTAACTAATTAAGGATTCTTTTTCTTTTCTATACACTTTCTGTTAACAATTTGTTTTGGTATTCATTTCTTTTACCTCTTTTTGTAAATCTCATATTTATATATTTTCAATCAAAGTATTTGCATTTAGTTATTTTAAAAAAAAATAAATGAAAATTTTCATGCTTGATCATTTTATGAATTACATGAATAAATTTCAAATTTACAAGTTTGCAGATTTAAATTTACAGCGGTACTTAAATTATCCATATTAAAATTTTTACAAAAATCATGCATATTGGCAAATGATAAAAATATGCAACAAAAGAATTATAATCTACGACTAAATTCATAATACATCATAATACGTTACGCTTGGAATTAGCCGTTATTTTGAAAATATCAGAGAAAATTAGTTAAAAACGGCTTTCTTTCCAAAGTCTATGATAATGTAAAGAGAATACATCAGTGAAAAACCAATATAATCATCAATGTAAATGTGGCTACAACCGTAAAAAATTGCTATACCAAAGTACACAGGTTATCTAGCTATATCTTTTTCACTCGTTCATATAATTATTTATACAGCTAATAATAATTTTAAAATTGGTTGATGGCCTCAAAGAACTGATAAAACCATATATGTTGAAACTATGAAATGCATGTCCTAGTAATTATAATAATGTCAGAAATTGGAGAAATTATAATATCATACTTATTACCTTGATATCAATTATGTATTCTTGATATTAAATCCCATATGTGACGCAATTTTCAGGTTCACAAATTTTAGATTATGCTAACGTGACCTTTGAGAAGAATAATAACTTATTATAACCCATCTTTGTTAACTATATTATGTTAATAATTAATAATAAAAACAGCAGCATCATGTAACAATATTTTATAAATTTTTAAGATTATTATTATTTTGTCACCATTGACCAGACTTATCGTTTTGTTTTCTGGATAAATAGTTCTAGTGGAATTTTTATGGTCTTTGTGAAAGAAGACAAGTAATAAAGATATTCTTTTAAATAAACTTATTTAGAAAGTACAGAGGCAGCATTCTATTTTATTAATTTATTTACAATTCCAATTTGTTTATATAATTAATACATACTGTACAGTACATCAAGAACTGAGCGTTATTATTTTAATTTAGTATTGTTCTCTGGGGCTTTTTAAAAAACTTGGCTAAGTCAGCAATTAATAATCTCACAACGCATCTGATTCACTAAAAATAAACACTCAATTACCGATTTACGCGATACTCTAATGTATTCGACGGAATCAAGAAATTAAGGAGCATTTGAAAAATTACAATTAAAATTCATGGTTCCTAATTCAAATGTTCGGACTTATCAAAAGGCTTTTATCGCAAGATTATGGAAGATTGTATTGATCATGTCGTAAACGTGATGAAACAATCCAGAAATAAAACTCGATGTTATAATGGTAATGAGAACTTATTTTAAATAATTGCCAGATCTGCAAAATTTCCAACTTTTCCATTTTACCAGTGCCCAAGAATCCGCTAAATACTGGTAAGGTAAAAACATAAATTGTCATAAAAAATATCAAGGCTTTTATATTTTCCAGTGCTGGTCATGTCCAAAACCAATAAATAAAATTAAATATGTCTAAACAAAATTAAATTAAGCAATCTCAGTCGTCCTAGTAATATTTCCTTTTCGCCCGATGTGTATTCACAAGTTTATTGGATTAATTATTTCTATTGAACATAGTTTAGATGATAATAAAATGATCGGGTATGAATTGCTAAGTTTTGATGATGCTTAATGAAGAAGAAAAGAAAGCCTCTTAAATTTCGCAAAATTACAAAGCAAAAGAGATAATAACAGGATTTATTCCGGACCAGGCACTCTTATCTTTCTATTGCTGTTGGCTTGGCAAGAAGGTCAAATGATCTAATAGCAATCATTTCTACTTGGGGTAACTTAGAAGATTGAGAAATCAATAGTTGTTAAAGCCAAAGAAAAGCAGGTTTGCTAAGAATGTTGCTGATTTCCCACAGTGTAAGATTGATATTATCTTTTCAAGAGGATCTATAATGAAAATCGCAAAGATAAAATATATTTATTATGATAAACCCGGGAAGTATTATGCCATGCCGGATTACAAGTGTAGCCGACATTTCATGAGAATAAGATATAAAACGTCACAATTATAGTTAAGTAGAAGATGACGACTTTGTAAAGGCGGCGGAGGAATCTAAGCAAAATTAATTTGAAAGAGGGGAAAAAATAACGATAAAAAAATATGAAAACAAAAGGCGGTGATTATGCTTTTGATTAATTACCCAATTATTTTATACGAATAATTTCACTTTGTCTTGTTTTGTTGCCCTATATTATTTTCGAGTTTTTATTTTTCGGTTTTATTTGTCGATTGATTGCATAATTGATTAGAGTGCACGGACTCTTACAATGCATACGACTGCATGATGATGCATCTTATAAATGTATTTTGAACATCCAACTTTTTTATCTATTACTCCAAGTTAGTTTTGTAAATGGAGCATTCGAATCCGGAGTCACGATTTGACATCGAGACGTTTCCAGAATATTTTCCAATTCTTGAGGTAGATAATAAATCTAGACTCATTCTAAGGCATTATAAGCCACGTAATAGATCCTTTTCTGCACCAGCTGCTCCACATGTTCAACAAGGTATTCAGGAAGACGATCGGAAAGTCGATCACGATTTTATTATTCTTCACGATCCTAAACTTACACTCGAAACCCTTCAAAGAAGAATAAGTCTTACTCGAAATGGTGATCAAGTCGGTCTCAGTTCTAATAAATACGTTGTTTAATTTTTCTTGTAATGTTTAATTTTCCAATTTATGTTAACAGTTTTATACGTTAGCTACGAAGGTACTCTATGTCAGATCCGCGCGGCCCTTTACGTGGTTATGGTAGGCGCATTAATGGAAAAAGACAACGATATTTGAAGTCATTACAAATATTAAAATATGAGGTAATTACATATTATTCTCAAATTCATTTTTTTTTTTTTTTGTTAGAACTTATATGTAATGATGTTTTTTTAATCTTTTTAACACGTAAAAGAGCGATAATAATGCAAATCAACCAAAGGAAGCTTCAATATTTATATCTCAACTTGATAAATTCGTAACAGAAGGTCAACTTCGGGTACAATTTGAGGAATGTGGAAATATAATTTATTGCAAAATTGAAAACGTTCCAATTCACAATGATAGTCTCGGACTAGCTAGATTAACTTTTTATGGAGAAAATAACGGTGATGCATTGAATTCGGCTAGAGATTCAATATTCAAATTTAATGGAAAATCATTATTTAATGGTCCACCCATAAAATTAGAACTTGATAATGATGGTTTGTTGTTCTTTTTTTTAATATATATATATATATATATATATTATTCAGTTGAAAAATATTTACAATAATTTTTTTTTTGTTGTAGGTTCAAAATTAAAAACGGCCGTTAATACGATTATTGCTGAAAGTCAGCATTCATTAGAACACTCTGTAAGTAACAAAATAAGCGAGCCGTCACCGTCACCATTACCTGATGACGATATGGAAATAGGAGATGCACCATCACCACCTGCTGTCATTGTTTCAGTCCTCGTCACTAAAGTCCAAAGTATATCACAAACTTCGGTACTATTTGATAAGGCCAAGAGGAAGGTTACACTTTCGACTTCTAATAAAACTCTTGCTAGAGACTCGCACGTTTCTCCTGAAAGGATTGAACAAAAGATCGAATTGCCACCGAAAAGACCGATCGACGATGATAAGGAGGAAGGTGAAATTGACTCAAACTATGAAGAGGAGTCATATGGACCTGCTAGTGGACTTTCATCATCTAGGGAAAAAGGAAAATGGTTTGAAAGATATTCTCTTGATTCAAATGCGCAACATTTGGATTATAGTATACCTACGGTTGTCCCCTCTAAGCGTTCTTATGATCAATACATACCTGATTATAGTAATGATCGTAATAGACATTTAAATCAAGAAAGGAGAAGGCGTAATTCTTCTAGAGAGAGGTTTATTAGAAACAATCTTACTGTGGAGAGAAGTCGTAGCCGAAGTCGAGGCAGAAGTCCTATCGGAAGCAATATTCAACAAAGGAGTCGCGATCGTGATTATGGACGCAGTCGTAACCATGAACCAATTCGTAATCGAGATCGCGATTCAATTCAAAGTTATAAACGCGATAGTTCTCGTAGTCATGATCGTGATATGTCTCGAGCTCATGATCGTTCTACCACTCGTGATAATATCTATCGTAGCAATGATCATGAAATGATTCGTAGTGGTCGTGAAACTCATGTTGGTGATAAGAAAGAAGAAAAGAAAATCAGCGAGACACGTGATTACTGGGCAGAAGTCGATAAGAAGTTCGATGGTCCAAAGAGTTCTTCGGAGTTTTCGTCTAGAGATCACACGAAATATAGGAAACGATCACAACTTAATAAAGATAACTCATCAAAATTACATTCCGTTAATGAATCAAGAAATCATATTCAAAATGAAAATAAAGATTCCATAAATCCAAATTTGTCGACAAAACGACCGGAATATTCTCATATTTCCGAAGATAGAAGTGCTTTTGGCTTGAATGCAAAAAAGTCGGCACAAAGGGTTAGTACGTCAAAGGTCGAGTCTATTGATAATTATACAAATGTTAATAGATTACCGAAACTTAAAAGTTATCCAAGTAAACCACAACAAAGTTCAAGACCTTCTGAAGGTTATAGAAAACCAAATATAAGTGACTGGGATTATTCATATTCGTCATCATCTGATTCCTCTGAAACCAGTGCGCAGAAGAAAAAGAAAGCACAAGATGCCAAAGGAAAATTACTTTCAAAGAATATTATTTCTTTAGCGTCAAACAAGGTTGAAAACAATAAAAAGGTTGAAAATGATGAAAAGAAACAGGGTCTAAGTCAAGTGTTGCAACAAAAGAAATCACCTCAAAAGCCAGTTTTAAAATCAAACGTTCGGAGTGCTTCTGAAAACAGTATAAAATCTAAGGTTGCACGCAAGTCAAAGAATGTTGATTTAACGAGCGACAGTACTATTAAAGAGGCTGATAATTCTATATCTGAATCCAGCGCAAAAGCAAAAACTGTTCGTAAACAAAAGAGCATGAGTACCTCTAATAACTTGGAAGTTTCTCAGGACGTAATGAAACAAAATCAAAGTCGTAAATTAAAAGAAACTGTCATAACAGGTGTAAAAATTCAACAAAATAATGATGATATTAGACAAATCATACATCGTTCTTCAAATGATCTAGCTAGTTCCGAGGCTAGTGATAGTGATAATCAAACACTTTATAAACCACACCTTTACAATACAAGCAATGAATCTACAAATGATGATGATGATGATGATGATTGTACTGATAGAGATTATCTTACATCAGGTGATGATATTACTGATGCATATGATTTGGACATGATTCGACTTTATTTTGAATTAAACGAGAAAGGCTTACTGAATAATGATGGTGAGCCCATAGAATGGTCCGAAAATGAAGAGTTTACTATACGTGTAGGTGGTAAGTAAAAATTTATATGCGATATTAACTAACCATGACTAAATTTATCATTTTATATTATTTATCAATAAAATATCTTTGCTAGATCACGTTGAATCTTTTAAAGATTACGCACCAGATGATGGACCTCATAAAACCGGCTGCGCTCGAACTGAAGGATATTATAAAATACCTCCGGAAGAAAAGCGCAAATACGTGGCATATGGCATACCCGGTACTTCTTATGCAACAGATAAAGCACCGGCTCCGAGTTCGCGTGCATCACGTGCAAAACGTCGTGAACTTCAATCTCGTATGGCAGAGTATCAGGATGTAGCAACTGATGCGGATATTCTATTATACAATCCACTTAAAGCACGTGAGAAAGAACTTACTATTGCAAAATCTAAGATCCATCATTATGGCCTCTTTGCTTTGGAGCGTATTAAATCAAGTGAATTCGTTATTCAATATACTGGAGAACTTATACGTCAAGCCGTTGCCGATCTTCGGGAAAGAAAATATAAAGCTGAAGGTATAGACGGAAGCTATATGTTTCGTGTTGGAGATGATACCATTATTGATGCCACCAAGATGGGAAATAATGCAAGGTTGATAAATCACTCGTGTGATGTATGTTGTTAACGCTATTAAATCATCTCTTTATTTGTCATTTTAATAAATACCAATCATAATAATTTTTTCAATCTGATTATAGCCAAATTGTAATGCGAAAATTCTTACTATTAAAGGGAAGAAAAAGATAGCAATATATGCAAAACGAGATATTGAATTTGGAGAAGAGATTACTTATGATTATAAGGCAAGTTAATAACGAATGGTTTACTAAATATTTTCATAATTTTTGCTAACCGTAAAATTGTTTTAATTTATAGTTTCCTATTGACAAGCATGATAAAATTCCTTGTCATTGCGGTGCTTCGAATTGTAGAGGATTCTTGAATTAATTTTTCTGTTTTAATATTAAATTAATGTTAGAGATATAGCTTATAAGTTTCATTTACTTAGAAATAAAATAATTAATTAGAAGTTAAATTTTTTTTATATATTTATTAAGTAATATTCCAATATTCAACCTCACAGCATAATTATTGATAGAGAAAATATTGATTAATGAATGTAATTAATTGATTATTATTAATTGATAGCGATAAGAATTCATCATATAAATGGTGTTATACTCTTTTATCAACTGAATTGATTAATACGTTCTTCATAAAAATAAACAAGATATTTTCTTAATAACTTACTTAAATTTATAGATAAAAGGATTGTTGATACATAATATACTTAATATTAGCTACAGTTATTAAAGAAAATTTAAATAATTAATAACTTATAAAAATGTGATTATAACTGTATTAAATTATATTTATATGAATTTTCTAACTTAATAACATTTTCAAATGATATATATTTTTAACTAGTAATTGGATTATACTAATGATTTTTATTATAATATTACATAAATTGTTTTTGTAATAAAATATAATTTTATAATTTTATATTATTTTTTTTTTAAAGTTTTTTGTGATAGAATTAACTTAAATTTGTAATAATATGTGATTTTTAACAAATAAATATATCAATATAAAGATCAACTATTATTTATTAATAACTATAAAAATTATATTAATTCAAATTAAATGCATCATATTTAAAATCTTTATAGGATTCTAATAATAAACTTTATTCACAATTGTATGGTAAAAGAAAAGCTTTTTTTAATTCTACAATTAAAATTGGTAACCAAATATAATATAAAGCAATATTAGATAAAAGTGAAATTAATTTGTCATTTTTAACCAAATCCTTTAATTTCAGTTAAAGATGGGAACTGCAATTAATATGTTGCAACTTTTAATGTTACAACTTACATTGTAATTAGTTTTAATCTATATATATTGCAACTTATAATATTACAACATATGTTACAACTAATTTTAGCTTATGTTGCAACAATTTGTAAATTTGAAATCAATTGCTGCACCATCTTTAATTTCAGTATTTTTTAAATTTACTGTGAACTTTTTAATCTATAAATAAAAAGATTATTCATAAAATAATTTATAAAAAGGATTATCAAAATCACTAATTATCAAATATAGTCTAATATTTCTTTATCTTATATCTAAAAATAAAAATAATTTGAATCAAAAATTTAATATACTCTATGTAAGATAATTTTGAATAAATAAAAAAACAGCTTCAAAATATCTCAAAAATAGAATAAAAATCAAAGTGATTAAAATAAAAATCTAATTAAATTTTTAAGTAAAATGATAAAGATAAAATTTAATTTAATGTAAATAAAAAGTAAGATTTTGAAGTTTAACTTCAATAAAAGGAAAATTAAATAAATTTTTTGTTGAAAAAAATAAGTGTTTTAATAAAATGAAATAAATAAATATAAATAATAATCACTTTTTTTTATTGTTCATTTTGTAAAGTAACATATTGCTATTATTTTCTTACAATTTAATTTCAACAAGCTTAGCTAATATTCAATATAATTCTTAGCATAAAAAACCATTCAGATTAGATAAGTAACTATACAGTGAACTCTTAATATAGTCCTCATTCGCTTGCTCCAGTTTGAGCCTAAGGGATTCTATTACGGATGAGTCTATTTGGATCAGCTTCTCTAGTAGTTCTCTCACTATATGCGAATCACATTTTAGTTTCAGATCTAGCAACTTACCTTCTAATTCAACTACCTTAGCTTCAAGAGAAAGGATCTTGACCTTATCAAAAGACAAAGCTTTTTGTGTCAAAGTTGCCTCTCTCTTTAGTGTTTAATATTGGATTTGAGTGATTTGATTTCAGCAAAATATTTGGTTTCAAGCTCAATATAAGACATCTTTTCATAAGTAATTTGGGATATAAGCTTAGTATTCGTACTATTTAGCTGGCTAACCTTATTTCTAATATTAGCATGAAATCACTAGAACTCCTTTTCTCATTCTAAATATTCTGAATTTTTAGCCTGCAACTTTTCGTTAAAGTCAATAATTTCAGAATTAAAATCGATAGCGGATCTTAATTTTTTTAAGCTCTTGCTTATATGTATTACCCAGCCGATGTCTTCTATCTAGAGTTCCGAATCAGGTCAGATCAACTTGTGATCTGATCTGACCCGACCGTAAATATCCAGGTTAGTAGAAATCAAATTAAACAAAATAAAATATTTAAAAAAAATTTTTTTTTGTCTATTTTTTTTAAAACATCTTTAATTTTATTTAATATACTATACTTTCTTTTTATATTCTAATAAAGTTATTTGTATAATTACTTTATAATTTATTATAATCAAAAAGTTAAATTTTAAATTATAAACATTTTTGCAATTACATTGTTCAACAATTTAATTTTA